TCTCTTTCTACCCCTCTCTCTCTCCCCTTCCGACCCCTCCTTTCCTCCCTTTATTTCTCTATCTCCCTCTCCCACCCTCACACACACACACACACACACACACACACACACACACACGATCCAACCTCACACCATTACACCGACCGCCGATCTCAATAACGATCCAATCCCTGTACTTTCTGATCTCCAGTACGGGACCGACGCTGATACCAGTGCCGACGCCTGGAAACTTCACCGCCGAAGAAAATAACATGGCACAGATACCGCTCCCCAAACGATGCCAACAACTGACACCGAGGATTCTCGGTCACAAAACCACTACCGAGTGTTACGAGTTCGTTTCGAGATAGAGGATGATCATCCAAGATATATTCTTCTATGATTTCTTTAATGGTCTAATGAGATCCATTTCTATAGTGTGTACCTTATTAAAGAAATTCTTGCTGTGTGGATACACCAGGAGACGCGCTTTAAAGGTCTGGTTCTGTTTACAACACAATTCTCCTCCCCTCCCCTCCTCCCCCCCCTCGGCCTCCCCTCCCCCATCCCTTCAAATGATTGCAGGGGAAGGAGGAGAGGGGGAGGGGGGGCTGTGAAGGTGGAAAGGGGCAACTTCTTGCTTGTCGCATCCTCGTGCATCACACCCCTGGCAGCTTCTACTCCATGAATTGTTAAGCAATTGTCAACATTTATTTTTATTTTTATTTTTTTGTCAAAATTTAATACTATTCTATCCAGAGAGTTGGCAATACTTCGAAGGGAACTTTTGCATTTCTTCTACCTCTAAAAGATGTAGAAAAAATCAACACTTGCCGCTGAATGATGGGTCCGTGCGCGGAATTCCTTTCGAGCCCATCCCTTCTTGTCGGGTGGTGGGCCCCACCACAGGGCCGTGCAATGTTGCACCATGTCCAGTGCAATTTGGCACACTGTCCTGGGCCATCTGTTGCTGGGGTCTGCGCACTCCCATGTGCAGTTTGCCCCGATACCGAGTACACGTCTTCCACCCACACACTGCTATTTGGGTTTAGGGTTTTCTTCCGTTCAAATCAGAACGTTCAACGACAATTGGCATTGAAGAAGTCCCAGCTGCGTGCTCTTCCATGCATTGTCAATTGCCGCTCGACACGGACGAGGGATGAGCTTTCGTGTTCTGGAGCTTCTTTGGTAAGCGTAGGAACGAGGAGGAAGAGGTGCAGAGGCAGAGGCACAGAGAGAGGGAGAGGGAGAGGGAGAGGGAGAGAGAGAGGGTGCGTTCGCCATCGCCACTCGCTCGAGAGAGCGAGACGGGGAGTTAAGTTTTCGTGTTCATCCGCTTCTTTTCATGCTACTCTGAGGGGGTGCAGAGGGAGAGGGGGGTGAGACGGAACAAGAGGAGGGGATGAGGGGTTGGAAGGATGACAAGAAGGGGAAGAGGGGGAGGGGG